TTTGAGTGAAAACACTCGCGTCCCTACGTTAAAAACCAAACTTGTGTCACACATAATCTCCGTGGGTTCAGGCTTAGGACGAAGTCCACTGATCACTAATCACTGATGTTGATGTGACACATCTGCGTTGACTTCCTGCGATCAGGAGTTCTTACAATGTAGTTGAGATCACTGGCCTTCCTGGCCACCTCGTACAGGCCATGGAAACGAGCTTTGAAGGGTTGGACTGAACGGAGGTTCTCGCGGGTTAGTTCAAACGATTCTGCTAGTCGGGTCTGGAATCGGGAAATCTAATCAAGCAATTCTCTGCGGCTGGGTCTTCTCGTATCTTTAAAAGACCGCTGACTGAATGCACAAATATAAGCTCAATTGGGCTGAACCCTAAAGATTCCTGTAAGGATTCGCGAAAAGCAAACATTAGGAATGGGATATCTTCGTCCCAATCTTGGTGGTGGTCCAGGCAATATGTTCGCATCATGTTCTTCAAGGTGGAGTGGAACCTCTCCAAGGCAACTTGAGATTGGGAGTGATAGGCGTTGGTCTTAATAGATTTTATACCCAAAGTTCCCATAACTTGTTGGAACACTCCTGATATTAAGTGGGATCTCTGGTTTGACTGTACCACCAAAAGTAACGAGGGTCTTTGCTATTTTCAAGATTTCTCATGGGTATCACTTCGGGAAACCTGGTCGAGGCGCATGTGATCGTTAACGGACATTGGTTTCCCGTCTTAGTTTTGGGTAACGGGCCAACACAGTCTACGATAATGCGACAAAAAGGGTTCCTCGAAAGCAGGGATGGGATGTAAGGGTGCGATGGCGACTTTCTGATTCAGCTTCCCCAGTAATTGACAGGTGTGGCAAGTCCGGCAATACTCAGACACATCCCTCCGGATCCTCGACCAGTAACAATGTTTGGTGATCGTATGTCTTGTTAACGCGAAGGTAAATCCCGCGTATTACCGATTCCGTGATATCACCTCATATCTGACGGGTTTCTTGTTTCTGTTTAATGCTTGTCAACCTCTATGGTTTATTTAATGCCGAAATCTAAATATTTTGCACGAAATTTTATTCGATATTTGGAAATAATAACAGTTTAGTGATACAATTCTTACTCATTGACCCAGAGCTGTGAGAAGAGGTGTATTCTTACCTTTCTCAAGAGGATTTGCACGTAAATGAATATAACTAAAACAATAACCTATATAAACTGATCCCTCACATAGTAACCACGATAGTTTCTACATACAGCTGATCAGTATTTTATCGATTGATTGATTCAAATTTTACGGCTTATCAACACTTTATCGATTATTTAAAGCCAGGAAATATTTTTACATTGTGAGAATTTTTATAGATAATACTGTACATAGTGTACATAATACCTCATCTCAGAAATATAGACAGATACTGAAAGGCTAAAACGTTGTAATAAATATGGTGACAAAGATGAGGACAACAGTCCGAATAATGTAAATAGTCTACATAATACCTCATCTCAGAAATATAGAGAGATACTGAAAGGCCGAAACGTAGTAATAAATATGGTGACAAAGATGAGGACAATAGTCCGAATAATGTAAATAGTGTGTATAATACGTCATCTCAGAAACATAGACAGATACTGAAGGGACGAAACGTTGTAATAAATATGGCGACAAAGATGACGACAATAGTCTGAATAATGTAAATGGTGCACATAATACCTCATCTCACATACTGCGGTCGTAGTATCTGTTCCGATCCGGAGGTCTTCTCTCCTCTCTTGCGTTCTACCGACCTCCACCCCGACACTGTTGCATGACATATGTTACGAAGCCGTGGTGTAACTGGCCATGACTGAAGCTGAGAGGTCAGGTCAGGATAAATAATATGGCAGATTCTTCTTTGGATATTGCCAAGATATTCTAAATACATAGAAGAAGAACTAGACCAGATGTAAAAGAAATATTTAGTGCTTAGACGAATCAATCAGATCGTATACGGTATACACGCGTAGACGGTCATATATCTTTCGATACATAACTGACTACGCAAAAGATTTTTCCGTAGTAGACTGGCTGCCCACCAGAGATGAAGAATAGACTTACAAATGTGTAAAATAGATTCTTGTGGGAAAAAATGTATAGAACGAGCATCCCTATCAACAGAACTAGCATGCATTTCAATATATATATATATATATATATATATATATATATATATATATATATATATGTGTGTGTGTGTGTGTGTGTGTGTGTGTGCGCGCGCGTGTGTGTGTGTGTGTGTGCTAATATATAGAAAAGTAGGAAAGGACCGTTAGGTTAATAATCCGAAGTTCTTTATCATTTTTGTTTTTATTTAAAAAAAAAAAAAAAAACAGTGCTCGATACACAAGTAAAGCCAATATTATATAATTATTTTTTTTCAAATGTGATTCCATAGCTACATAGGAATTCCCATGTTTCAAAAACAGAAGCTAAAAACTTCCCATTTAATTATAGAAATTAAATTAGATTAAAGTACCTAGTTCTGTTTCATGCTCAAGCGAATTTTGGAATGTCTTTTTTAAATTTAGTTTTCTGAATTCAGCATGTATTCTCTTTCCATAATTCGTATGAGGATGAAACAGAACTAGGCACTTTAGCTTCTGTTTTTCAAACAGGAGAAGTCCAATCTATCGATGGAATCCTATTTTTTAAAAAACAATTATGATATATATATATATATATATATATATATATATATAGATATATATATATATATATGATATATATATAAGATGAGCTATATTTATGGGATAAAGTCCTCAATATCAGATATAGAGTGTGTGTAGATATAAAAGTGAATATAGGAGTCAACACTTAGTGGCGACAGTTTGTTTCATGCTAGACGCAATCGTCAGGTCGCCTGACGAATATATATATATATATATATATATATATATATATATATATATATATATATATATATATAGAGATAGATGATACTGGTGAGAAAGAAAATGTATGGAACCAACCTGCCTAGAACTAGCATATAATTCTCTTATATATATTTACATGTAGCATTTAATTATATATATATATATATATATATATATATATATATATATATATATATATATATAATTTAAATGCTAGTTCTAGTTCTAGGGATGTTGGTTCTTATACGTTTATATATGTAGAGGAATCATGGCGGGGTATTGGATAAGGATTCTCATTGAGGTTTGAGGAATCGAAGTGCCGAAATCGAATTCCATTTGGATCTATTACATTCAATATAAATCATCTTCTCCCCCCTCCGCCACCAGCTATGTGTAAATAGCAGGACAGATTGGGTTCCATAGCCTTGAGTCGCAAACTGTCTACGAGAATGAAAAAATCTGAATTCAAAAACCAGGAGAGGTATTGGTCTTCGTCAGGCTATCTTTCCCAAGAAAAACTACTGCAGCTGCAGTACACATGGTGCCCCTACGACGCTACGGCTCACGGGGCCTATATATATATATATATATATATATATATATATATGAATCCTCTTCTTCTATGGGTAATTAGCAGAACACCTTGGGTGGCAACCGGTCTAGGAGAAGGAAAAACTATGAATTCAAAACCATCCTAGAGAGGTTTGGGCTTCGTCAGTCTATCTTGCCCAAGAAACACCACTTCTACCGTGGCTGCGGTACACGACCCCGATCACGGTATAAAAATATAAAAATATATGACTATCCGTGTCTTTGTGTGTGTGGTCCTGGGTATGATGATAAACTACTAGAAAGGCCTTTGATCGGGAGACTTTGAGGAGATTTGAACTAACACTTAATTGTAATTATTCCACTCTGACCCGGGGTGGTAGCACCTGTTAGGGTCCCAGCTATGGGCAGATAAATTTCACAAATTAGGATCAAGACTGTATGAAAGTATAAAAATACGTTTTTATATTAAAAATACCAGCAATATTTTTTGGTAAAAGAAATTACTAATAGTTCAAGAAAATAAAATTTCGACATTGCATGGCCCATAAGGGTTTTGATATGCCGCATGTGTGTGCGTGTGTTGCTTTAAAAGGACTGTCTGTATATTTTATGCACTGATCTTCCGTTCGCTTTCTTAAAGAGCGAGCGATGTACAAATCCGGAAAGTATACGTCCCTTTGAATTATATTCAATAATGCCTGCAGACAAGCCTCGTTTTCAATCAAATATGTCCACGACAACAGAAAAAAAGGAAGATAAAATGAAAGAAACAAAGCAACGAAATCAAATTACGAAATCGGCAAGGGCGCCATTGTTTTTCAGCTGTCCACAATTTCATGCCGAGTTAGGCCATTCCACTCTCGGCCAATTTCTTTCATTTCTTTTTATGTCAAATTCCTCTGGTTTGATTTAATTTTTGGTTGTTCGTATTGTGAACACAGTATCACTGCCAATTAGCTTATTCACAAAAATGACCAAAGGACTAAAACATTTCCGGTGTTTGCCCGCCATACAATCACTTCCTAGATTCCATTTGACCTCATCAACCGTAAGATGGTTTCTTCTCAGGTCGAGTTTCACCAAATGATATCTCTTTGCTTGCTTGAAACAAATATGGCAAGATTAGTTGTTCAGAGAGATATCCCTATGAAGATTGTGTTTATTAATATATTTCGACCACAAGACGAGTGTGTAGGAGGGTAGACTTTATGTATAGAGGGAAATAGTTTCATTAATTGACTAAGTGATTGTTGGTCTATTTGGATTTGCTGTGAGCGATGGCTGTAGTAAAATGAATAGGGAGAAAGAAAGATGGAAAGTAATATTGAAAGGCTGAGGGGAAGACGAGAAACAACGGAGAAAGGGAAAGAAAAGTCAGGGTATGAAGTTATCGAGGAACATAGAAATAAAGAAAGGAAAAAGAAAAAAAAGAAAAAGAAAGAAAAAAGAAAAAGAAAGAAATATATGAAAAGGAAAGGAAAAAGAAAGAAAAAGAAAGAAAAAGAAAGAAAAAATAAACAAAAAATCAATAACAAAAGAAATTACGCATAGAAAGCATGCACGAAAAGAAAGAAAGAAAGAAAGAAAGAAGGAAAGAAAGAAAGAACGCGAGAAACTGGGAAGAAAAAGGGCAAAGAGAAAAATGTAGGAAAGATCAGTAAGAAAAAAGGGAAGAAAGCTAAGAAAGAAAGAATATTAGGAAAGAAAGAAAGAACAAAAGAAAGAAAGAAAGAAAGAAAGAAAGAAAGAAAGAAAGAAAGGAAAAAGCATGGAAGAACGAAAGAGAAAAGAAAGGAAAGAAAAGTGAAGAAATGTAGGAAAGAGAAAGTAAAGAAACCTAAGAAAAAATGTTAGGAAAGAAATAAAGGAAGAAAAAGTGGAAGAAACAAACAAACATGGAATAAAGAAAGAAAGAGGAAAGAAAGAAAGGACAAAGTGAATAAATTTACGAAAGAAAAAGGAAAAGGGTAAAAATGTAAAACATAAAAATATTAAGTAAATAAGTAAGAAAGGAGGAAAGAAAGAAAGAAGGAAAGAAAGAAAGGAAAAAAGAAAATCTAAAATAGTAAAGAAGAAAGAAAGAAAGAAAGAAAGAAGAACGTAAACGAAAAAAAAGGAAAGAAAAATATTAAGAAGGAAAGAATGCAAAACTTGTAACCAAGATATCGAGAAAGGAAAAGGGAAAAGAAGGAAAGACGAAAAATAGAAAGAAAAAATCTAACAAGGAAAGAAAAAGGAAGAAAAAAAGGTAGTAATGACGAGAAAAAATACGGAAAAACAGAAGAGTAATGAAAAAGAGCAGAAAATAAAGAAAAAAGAAAGAGAAAAAGAGAAAAGGAGAAGGAAACCACAGACAAGAAAAACAAACAAACAACAAAGCAAAATACTAAGGAGAACAAGAAATGAACAGTAATAACAAAAAAGAAGGAAAAACAAAAAAATGAAAGGAAAATATGAAATAATATTGAAACGAGACTAATAATTAAAAGGAAATAAATAAATAAATAATCATTTTGCATGTGATATATATATATATATATATATATATATATATATATATATATAGAGAGAGAGAGAGAGAGAGATAGATAGATAGATAGATAGATAGATAGATAGATAGATAGATAAAAAAATCCGTGGGTAAATAGTCTACGTGAATCCTAATAATATAAAATATTAAAACTGCTCCACAAATAGAGCTCAATTTATTTATTACAGAGCATACATAAATCAATTACAAATAAATGAAATTCAAAATAACCCACCAAAATGGCCATTTCGCTCCGCCAGGGTTTGCCAACACTAAAAATTTAGATTAAAAAAATTTATTACCGAATATTTGGATGATGTATTAAGTTTATTTCCTTCTTGATCTGATGAACCAGGTAAAACAACCTTCCTGGGGAAATAAAATATAATCAATCGACCCTTAAGGTTGTCCGTTTTCTAATTAAATTGAATTAATAACTGCGCTGTTTTGACATTTAGCTGTCTGGATTACATCCTCCTTGAGATTATCCAATTATATATACGGATTATAAAACTTTTCATTACCTAACCATATATATATATATATATATATATATATATACTTCACTCCCTAGCAGTCGGTCTGGAATTAAAGTGTTGTATCTGTTCCGCTTTCTCTAATAGTAATAGTAATATTAGCCGTTTCCTTATAAGGAAACATTCGGTATTCACTGAACATCCAAAGGTATTCGAGTCACGCTGTCCTTCAATCACTAAACAACCGGTTTGGAATCAAAATGTAGAATCTGTCCCTTTTCACTAATATATATATATATGTGTGTGTGTGTGTGTGTGCGTGTGTGTGTGTGTGTGTGCGTGTGTGTGTGTGTGTGAAAATAGGAAAACTGTAATAGTTTCCAAAACGCGTGGGCAACTATTGTATTTATAAATGTTGTCTTTTCTACAGGTTAACTCTGAGAACATTATATATATATATATATATATATATATATATATATGCCACGTGGAAATAGAACAATCTATTACCGTGGACTTAATAAAGGGTACGGTTCGAAATTCCAAGATATATAACCTGAAGAAAGCCGGAACATATAACGGCCGAAAATATGGCAACGAAGATGAGAACAACAATCCAAACAATGTGAATGGTGTAATACATCATCTCACAAATATAGACAGATGCTGAAGAAGCCCGGAACATTCAATGGCCGAAACATTGTAAATATGGCAACGAAGATGAGGACAAAAGTCCGAACAATTTAAATAGTGCAAATAATTACGATACTTTATCACAGAAATATAGACAGATGTTGCGTAGTTTTGGGTGTATATATGTGTGTGTGTTCTCAAATGTAAGCGCTTATCGCTGTGTGCGGATTTGCTTGTATGATTGTGTCCGCACGATGTTGTAAGTTGAAAGACCACACTGAAATATGCAAACAATTAAATGTTAATTTTTTCCTTATCTATCTCTTTTTTTTTTTTTTCAGTCATGTTCTTCTCGTTCTTAATTTTAGCAGAATGCGGTAAAAATGGCGCCTGGTCGTCTTTTTTTTCCCCTTCTATTTTTTCGTCTTCTTTATTCAAGAGGCGATAAGACCCCCCCAAAAAAAAACACGGAAAACTTTCGTTGACGACATCCTCGCATGTTATTCATCAAGGGTTCAGGCGAAACACGTGTGTTCTACGTGCGTTCTTTGAAACGTCTTGGGTAGACAGAGAGAATCGTTAGACTTCGGGTAGATGACGTTTGAAGGTAAAAAAGAAATAAAAAAAAATGGTTGCCATTATATATCTGTAAGTATATCTACAAAAGAGGAGGAGGTGCGTATGCATTTCTCTGATTGTATGAGCAGTTGCCGAAGCAAAAACAAATGACGATTCTTTCTTTTTTTTTTTGCGGACACCTTTCTTAGTGATGAGATCTCTAAACGCTAGTTATAATCCTTTTTTAGTCGCCGTAATAAATGAACATTGACTCATCGCCCATCTACATATGACTGGTGTACACTTATAGACCTTTTATTAGCAGGCAACGACACACAGACGCAGTGTTTGCATTTTTTAAAATTACTTTTAACGAGCTTACAAGTCGGCCCATTGTGTGGTAATTAAGCTAAATCCTGCGGAAGGTTCTTGAATAGGCCTTCATCACAATAGGTAGAGAGGAGTAGATGCTATAGGTAACAATAAACTACAGAAGAACTGGAAACTAATTGCTGCATTTAAGTACTGCATTACTATTTACGTTTACCTTTTAAAAGTTCAACGATAATTCTTCTGCCGCCACTTTTTCTTTTTCTTTTTTATTTAAGCGTTTCACCCCAAGCAACGCGGGAAGTCACTAGGACGCAAGGGGTTACAGAAGATTTGGAGAAAGATCAGAGAGGAGTGATAGACGAAAGGAACACCAGAGTAATTTCCCCAAATTGAATGGTGGAATTATTTTTTTTTTCCAAAATGAAAGTTTTCATAAGCGTATCTACAATTTAACGTAGAAGAAAAGTACTGACACTAAGATATATTATTGGATTATTCCAAAATTTTAACACATCAGCTCATAGCTCTTAATGAGAAGTGAGCAGAAAAAAGTTATTAATGTAAAAAAAATAGTAATTAATGTATGATATTATCGATAACTACATGTACAAGAATGTCGTTTTTGATAAGATTTTGAAAAAATAACCATAAATTCGTAAAAATGCGTATATTGTCGAAAATTCTTTTTTCCAGAAGTTAGGAGAAGGATAGTGGATAGATCAAGGCAACTGGAGATGTCGATTGACATTACTTTTGAATAGTTGGAGATTATAGCTCTCAGGGAAACAGGAATAGGGAAGAGAGTTCCACAGGTGAGAGGTGCGAGATATAAAGCTATTGGAGTAGAAGAGACGGCTAAATTTAATAGTTTCAACGGTGTAAGGGTGAAAGTGACGCTTGAATTCATGCAGTCTGGGAACCAGTGAATGCAGCTCCTCGGAGAATTTACCATAAAAGTATTTGTAAAAAAAGACAAAGAGGGGTGACCGCGCGTCTGTGATAGAGGGACTGTAGACAAGATGCCAGATCAGGGCCAATTATATTGCATATCCGCCTCTGGATCTTATCAAGAACCCCGAGGCAAACAGAGGGGGCTCTAGACCATATATGGCAGCAATACTCCATGCAAGGGCAAATTGTTGATTTGTAGATCTGAAGGATCGATTCCGGGGAGAAAAATTTCCTGGCGCGGCACAGGGAGCCAACTTTCCTTGCGATGGACGAAGCAATTGACTCAATGTATTTGTTCCATCTCAGGTCAGCAGTCAACGTGAGACCGAGCAGCCGCAGAAAGGTGCTCTCGAGAAGTTGAGCGTCAAACATTCTAATGGAGGGCAGGAGAGAATCTTTGTGGTGATTAATAGAGAGCAGTTTTGTTTTTGAGGCGTTAAAGTTGACCAGCCAATTCCTGCCCCAGTTCACAACCGATTGGAGGTCCTTTTCGAGACGCACGGACAGATTAGTTTTTTCAGCGACACTAGATTTGTTTTTGAAGCAGGTGTAAATTCTAGTGTCATCCGCGTAGATGCCAACTTGGGAATCTATGGCGTCAGGAAGGCCGTTGATGAAGATAAGGAATAGAGTGGGGCCTAGGATGGAGCCTTGAGGAACACCTGCGTTCGTGGGATAGGAACTGGAGGAGAATCCGTTGAGAACGACCTTCAATTCTCGTTTTGACAGGAATGATTGTATTAGGTCAAAAAATCGACCTGTAATACCATAACCCTGTAGTTTGCGATTTAAATACAATTTAATGTACGTAGGTCTTGATTTCTGGACAATTATTTTATTTCGTGGGTGATTTCACTGGATTTCGCAATTAATTTCCATTATTGACAAATTTATTTCCAAGTAAAAAAAAACTGTTATCGTACAAAAAAAAAAAAAAAAAAAAAAAGAATTCGTCGCAAAATCACGAAAAAAAATCGCCGAAAACAATTGTAGAAATTAAAGATAAATACACAGACAATGAATTTTGAACATGAATTTTGAACATGACCTATTGAATTTTGAACAAGACCGATTGAAATATGTGTCGCTTGAAGGGTTTTTATCAGTAGAAGCCAAGATGGCAGTATCCGAAAACAATTGCAATTATAAAAACTTGCGAATCCAAAATTTCAGGATTGCAAGTCCGGATCCCGCCTGGAATGGTTTTAATTTCATGTAGTCAACCTGATTCCAAAATGGTATAATATATTGGGTTATACCCTCAAAAGTAAAGATGGAAACGTTTCCAAATGTGACACACTGGCATTTGCATTTATTATAATGACTTCATGTTAAATATCAGGTCAGGCTTTGTGT